GTCTGTCCAACACCCCCAGGCATGGGAAGGGTTAATCCCATCCCAATCCCATCCCAATCCCATCCCAATCCCACCCAATCCCATCCTAATCCCACCCAATCCCACCCAATCCCATCCCAATCCCCGCCTTGGCTGAGCCCTTGGATTGGGAATTTCCACTCCCCATATGGGAAGGGCTGGAAAAGGGACGGAAAAGGGGGCGGAAAAAGGATGGGGAAAAGGGGTGGAAAGGGAGGGGAAAGGAATGGAAAGGAGCTGGAAAAAAGGTGGGGAAAGGGGTGGAAAAGAGATGGAAAAGGGAAGGGAAAGGGTTGGAAGAACAATTCATCACTGGCTGCTGGGGAGGCCCGGGGTGGGGGAACAGGGTGACAAAGGAGCTGCCTGGGATTATCCCGGGCAGGTTTATCCCAGGTTTATCCCAGGCAGGTTTATCCCGGGTATGTTTATCCTGGGCAGGTTTATTCTGGGTTTACCCCAGGTTTTTCCCAGGCAGGTTTATCCTGGGTATGTTTATCCTGGGCAGGTTTATCCCGGGTTTATCCCAGGCAGGTTTATCCTGGGTTTACCCTGGGTTTATCCCAGGCAGGTTTATTCTGGGCAGGTTTATCCTAGGCAGGTTTATCCTGGGTTTATCTCAGGCAGGTTTATCCCAGACTTATCCTGGGCAGGTTTATCCTGGGCAGGTTTATCCTGGGTTTACCTCGGGTTTATCCCAGGCAGGTTTATCCCAGACTTATCCTGGGCAGGTTTATCCTGGGCAGGTTTATGCCGGGTTTATCCTGGGCAGATTTATCCTGGGCAGGTTTATCCTGGGCAGGTTTATCCCAGGCAGGTTTATGCCGAGTTTATCCTGGGCAGGTTTATCACAAACAGGTTTATCCTGGACAGGTTTATCCTGGACAGGTTTATCCCGGGTTTACCCCGGATTTATCCCGGGCAGGTTTATCACAGACAGGTTTACCCCTGGTTTATCCCGGGCAAGTTTATCACAGTCAGATTTATCCTGGGCAGGTTTATCACGGACAGGTTTACCCCGGGTTTATCCCAGCCAGGTTTATCATAGACAGGTTTACCCCGGGTTTACCCCAGCCAGGTTTATCCCAGGCAAGTTTATCCTGAGCAGATTTACCCCAGACAGGTTTATCCCAGGCAGGTTTATCCCGAGTTTACCCGGGGGGTCACGCGACAAGGGGACGGCGGCACCGGGACAGGAACCACAGGAACCACCGGGATGGGAATTCCCGGGACAGAACTCCCAGGACAGAATTCAGGACACAGAATTCCCGGGGCAGAACTCCCGGGACAGGATCCCCGGGGTGGGAATTCCCGGGATGGGAATTCTGAGACAGAATCCCCAGAACAGAATTCCCGGGACAGAACTGCCGGGACAGAATCCCCAGGACAGAATCCCCGGGACAGAATTCCAGGAAAGAATTCCCAGGACAAAATCCCCAGGACAGAATTCCAGGAAAGAATTCCCAGGACAGAACCCCGGGACAGAATTCCCACGACAGGCGGCACCGGAGAGGCAGACGGAGGTGGGGGCGTGGATATGCAAATAAGGAGGCGTGACCCCACATACTTCCCTCCCATTGCTCTATGGGCGTGGCCAGCTCGGGCAGGGGCGGGGTTTTCCCCTTGGGGGCGTGGCCTTTGGGGCATTGGGCTGCAGGGGCGCGTTCGGTGGGCGTGTCCTTTCTGTGGGCGTGTCCCCGTTGTGGGCGTGTCCGGGGGCGTGTCCCCGCGCCGGCGGTGCCGGGGGTCCATGGCGTGGTCCCGGTACCAGCTGGGCCTGGCCGCGCTCATGCTCCTCACCGGCTCCATCAACACCCTGGCGGCCAAGTGAGTCCCCCAAAATCCCCCCAAAATCCCCCAAAATCCCCCGCGCCCCGCCCCCCGAGCCCGGCGGTGTCGCGGTTTGTCCCCTCCCTGCCCCCCCCCGGGGGTTTGGGGTCACCTCGCTGTCCCCACCCCCAAGGCGGGGGGATCCTTTTGGGGGGACCCGGCTCCTTTCGGGGTTGGGGAAGGAATTTGGGCTCCTCCAGCCCGTTTTGGGGTGGAGCCCCCCCCACCCCGGCTCCCCGTGCGGCTCCTCCCGCACCCCAAAATCCCGGCGGTGACGTCATTCCCAACCCGCGGCCATCCCAAAATCTGCCCGGGCAGGGCGGACCTGCCAGGCCGGCTCATCCCGCGGGGATCCCGGCGGGATCCCGGCCGATCCCAGCCGATCCCGGCCGATCCCAGCACCGGAAAGGGAAACTGAGGCGGAGGGGACACGTGAGGTCCCAAAAAAGCCTCTTGCGACACCCCGGGAATGAGTCAGCCCCGAATGCCCCGGGATTGGCGGAAAACCGGGATGGGAGGGGTCCCGTGGGGGTCGGGGACATTCCCGGCTGGATTTGGGGACATTTGGGATCTGTGGAATCGGAAATCCGCATCCAAAGGGTCCTGCTTTGGCCAAAGGGGGGTTGGAGCACCCGAAAAAAACGGGGCATTTACCCCAAATTGGGGCTGGGGCATCCAGTGATTTTATGGATCTGGTGTCCCTCAGGATCCGGAGTTTTGGGGACATGGGGTGTCCCATTCCTGGTGTCCCATTCCCTGTGTCCCGTTCCCGGTGTCCCTTTCCCGGCTGTCACTCAATCCCGGGATCCCAGATACCGATCCCTTTCCCACCTTCCATCCCCCGCCGTACTTCCCAGCCCCACATTCCCAGCCCGGCCCCGTGTCCCTCAGGCCGCCGGGATGTTCCTGGGGGAGCTTTCCTGCCTCCCGGTGTTCTACCTGCTGCTCCTGCGGGATCGGCGCCGCGCGGATCCGGCGCCGGCGCCATCCCGACCCTTCAACCCGCTGCTCTTCCTGCCCCCTGCCCTGTGCGACATGGCGGGCACCAGCATCATGTACGTGGGTGAGTCCGCCACGGAATTCCCGCTTTTCCTGCCGGGATCTGACGGAATCCCGTAAATCGCGGAATTTCTGGAAGTTTCCGTCGGGCCCTGAGCGCTTTTCCCGCCGTTTTCCCGCAGCGTTGAACATGACCAGCGCCTCCAGCTTCCAGATGCTCCGGGGCTCCCTCATCATCTTCACCGGGCTCCTCTCCGTGGCGTTCCTGGGCCGGAGGCTGGAGTGGAGCCACTGGTCGGGAATTCTGCTCACCATCCTGGGGCTGGTGCTGGTGGGGCTGGCGGATCTGCGCGGCAACGGCGGCACCGAGCACGGGCTGGCCGACGTCATCACGGGTATCCCGGGAATGCCAGGGACGACTCCTTGGAGTGAGGGATCACTCCATGCATTGATGGG